CAGATCTCGATGAAATTTGTCACAGATGTAGAACATAGTCTGGAAGAACACATAAGCTACTTATTTTTAATTTACTTAATTCTACGCAGGCGAAGTTGCCGGCGAAAGTTAGTATAAATTATAGCTTGTGTAACAACTGATCGTCTACTAAACGCTATTAACCAATAATATTTACTTATTTAAATTCTATTATTAAGAAAAATAAAGATTAAAATTCTCTGTATCAGGAAAGTTCGAAGATAGTTCGGAGCTACTTCTTCATGTGGACGGTGTTCTTCTTTCTGTCGATGTTCACTTTCTTCTTGAATGCACCGCACTATGACGTCGGCACCATCTGCCTTGAAGTCTTCTATATTTGTAAGTACTTCTGTTAACATTTTACTAGCACGCACACGTCTGATTAAACCACAAATGTTGTGCGATTGTCGTTTGTTTAGCAGCCTTCTGTTTAGTTGGACAACTAAAATTCGAGTGCGCACCTCCATATAAGGTCATAGGAAACAGTTGAGCGATAGTTCAGGTACTCAGCACGAATGGGTCAGCTTGCCCGATGCTATATAATGAATACAGACGTCAAAAGAAAGGTCTCTTTTCATTCCACCGTTTTCGAATTAGGGAGTATTGGGATAATAGAGGTTAAGAATATACTTTGAAAGTTGACTAAAATTCGAGATAACTATACAACTATACGAAATTTTAAATAATAAATTGTTGTAGACATCTTTTTGTGGTGTTTATTAAAAAATCAATAAAAAACGGAACGTTATTAAAACTAATTATAGCTAATATAATGTTATATGGTTGTATAATAGTTAATTTACTTAAAATTTATTAAAACACTGGCTGTTCCCGTGTTTATCCGCATGAAATTATAAAAAAAATATTAATGTATTAATGCAAATGTCAAAGTGACATGACATGACTAACCTTGGCAATTTTACTTTCTTGATGTTGGCAACAACTTATGGTCTCTTTCCCACATTAGGGGTTTTATCCAAAAATATACCCCCTGAGTTTAATGGCGTGAAAACATATAGCCTAAAGCGTGACGTACGTGTAGGGCTCTTTATTAAAAAAAGGAATTATTCAAAAATATGCTGTAATTGCTGACATCTTAGGCAACAAAGAAGTGTGTGTTTACGCTTTATTATAATAGTATAGATTGTTTAACACTACATTATAACTTAAAAAAACTATCATTTTCTTACATAATCGTCATATTGGAATACATTAAGTTAAATGATTTGTCATTTGTTCTTAATTAACAGTGTTTTATTCTATTTTCAGGTCTGAATGTCTACGCGATTCTCTTGAGCCACAGTTTTTACAAGCAACTGAATAGCAGAGAAGAAGTTTAAAATTATCTTATTAATATTGCTTCTAAATGTTGTCCTCTATATAATCTTTCAAATTTAATTTAAGAACGTTTTTTTTTAACGTTAATTGTTAAAGTTTAGTGTATGTTCTATGTTTTGAGGTTATAAATAAGATATCTGTTATTGATGTGTTTCGTGTATTTACATTGTTGAGAATTGTTGTGATTTTCGTTATAATTCGCATATTTTGAGATGTTTTTAGAAAAGTTTTAAATTAAATTTAAATAAAACCTTCCTCAGAATTCATGCAAGTAATGTACGGAGAAAATACGCTATAAAATTGTTAAATGTGTAATGTTGAAAAAGTATATAAAATGTTTTATTAAAATTGGAAAATAGTTATTGTTTTATTACAAAACTAGCTGTTCCCGTGCGATTTCATCAGCATAAAATTAATTTATTGTTTACATGTGTCAAATTGACAATTGCAAATGTCAAAATGACATGACATGACAAAACTTGGCAATCTTGCTTCCTTGATGTTGGCAGCAACTTATGGTCTCTATCCCATATTAGGGTTTTTATCCAAAATAATTACCCTCCAACTTTAATGACTTGAAAATATATATCCTAAAGCGTGACGTAAGTGTAGGGCTTTTTATTTAAAAATAACTATTCAAAAATATGCTGTAATTGCTGACATCTTAGGCAACAAAGAAGTGTGTGTTTACGCTTTATTGTAATAGTATAGAAGAATAGATTGGTCCACCAGGGAGATATGCTTTAACACACATTAATAAACAGACAGTTGAGTACCCCCTTGTAGTCGGCCAAAAACAAATAAAAAATACATTATAAATGAAAAGGTAATCTCTAAAAATAAGCTAATACTAACCAACTTAAATATAAACTCAAATCTATTTGGCAAAGGTACTTGTTAAAATGCAAGTACAGTCACAGAAATTCGCGGTGTGCCACTTACATATATAGCCATGTTCGTTACAACGAAACAAGCTCCGCCGAACAAATAACAAATTAGGTGGCAGAGAAACATAAACGACAGGATAATAAAGAGCAGTTAGTTCTCTACCATTGACAAACGTTTTTCGTACAAACCAGAGATTCAAAAATATATAGAGGAGGCAAAGTGGACATTTTACTTACATTTTTCACATAATCATACAAACGCTATCAATTCCATCCATATGCCAATATGATTAATTTTTAAATGTTTTTATTTACTGAAAAATGTATATAACACGAGATGGAACTAAACTTGACAACTTTTATACCTTTCAGAGAAAGTACTGGTGAAATCTTTTGGTTGACTATGCCTCGTCTATATGTTGTTTAAATATCTTTGGTACAGATACATTTAAAACAGCGCCATATTAGTTTCACATCGTATCATATTAGTTTTAAGGTAGAACAAAGCCTTAGTTTTCGATTGTACAATCTTATAAATACGTGTAAGAAAGATAAAAAATGACTGAAAATACTGATAATAGACTGACGGCCGAATACTGAAACGTCATTTCAATAAAAACATAAGGACATGCCTACATGTTAAATTCCTTACAAAGTCATTTATCAGATTATAAGCGACACTTTTTTATATTAGGTGGCAAACGAACAGGAGCCACCTGAATCCGCCAAAATGGCAAAGCGACCGCTGCCCATAGACATCCGCAACTGCAGATGCGTTGCCTACCCTTAATCGACGAAGAAGGAGACGCACATAAAGAAGATGTTTTCGCTTCCTATGCGTCTCCTTCAGCGTCAAATCCGCTTTCCCTTCCCATCCTTTCCTTATAAGAAAAAGGTGGGAGAGAAAGGGAGTTTAATTAGGCACTTACGTAGCGACGTATTTAAGTTTCGCTACAGTATTTGGCCGTTTCAGTCTAAAACAATGATAAAACATAAAATTTAAAAACTAATCTACAATTAAAAGCACGTCGTCCATTTGGTCTTCCGAATTAAAACAGAAATCTCCTCTTTGTATGAGACCATACACTGTGTACACTACAGTCAGGCAGTAAAAGTAGAAAGCTGAAAAGTAAGAAAAGAAAACTTTAGAAGGAATAACTAAGATTTAAGATGGCAATTTCGCAAGCTGCGTCGATATTGGTGACATAAAGGGACCTAATCACACCCGATATTTTCTCTCCGCTGTGTTCAAGTGCACAATTATGGACTCGCTAACCAACTAACCACGTTCCACCTAATCGTTGGCAAATGCTCAATTTCAGTTACTCTTAATTAGTTTATTATGACGTTCATAATATAAATTTACTTCCGATATCTTGTATCAAAACTGCCACATGCTGTTTTATGCAGAAAAAAACCTTCATAGAACTTAAAAAATTTAAAATTACATTAAGAACTTACCGGAAACGATGAAAAATGTAATCGCTATGTACCAATAGTTATGTATCAGGAATAATAGAGATCCGAGCAGCATCAGCATCGTCATCAGAACACCAAAGGCGAAGTAAGTCAGCACCAAACCAGGAAAATACTGAAAATGTCAACGTTTAATAATTAAGATTCCCGTTTGCTTTATTTAAGACAGAAGATTTTTCAGTAAAAAAGAGTGGAAAGAGAAGGAATACAGGAATTAGACCACAGGCGCGCACATTCATCAGAAGAAAAGCAGAATTACTTCCACTCCAAGTCTGTCTTCTGTATGATCGTGATGTTGCACTGGACGAAGAGGTAATTCCTGCGGTTAATACTGCTTGTTATGGACGTCTCAAGCCTTTGTAGTATTGAGGGAGTTACCATTAGAATTCGACATACATTTGATATCTATTTTCACCTCCCATTCTGGCGACGCCTTTTCTACGGACACTACTACAGTTAAAACTCATCATCATACTCCTTATCCTACTCCCGTAGAGTCGGCGCAACAGGTTTTTGTCCTCCAAATAACTCTATCATACATCATCTCAGTCATCACTCCCATTTTGTTCATGTCACCTCGCGCAATCCATCCATCTCTTTCTAGCTCTACCTCTAACGAAGTACCCTTCGGCACTCATAATTAACGTTCTCCTTGTAAAATACGATTCATCCCGCCTCATAACATTACATTAAGCACTATTAACACTACAGTTGAAAAGAAAAAATTACCTTAAATATTCCGATAATTAGAAGGATACTGAAAAATGTAGCCAGAAGTGACACCACCAGGACGGGCACTAATATCGCGTTTATAAAAATAACCTTAAATCTCGTGGAGGCTATAAATATTTCATTGTCTTCTTCTAGCCCGAGTATAATAATCGATGTCACAGACAATACTGTGAAAATTATCTGAAAAACATTTGTTTTATTACTAAACTAGTTGTTCCAGTGCGGCTTCATCTGCATAAAATTATAAAAACATTATTTTATTGTTTACATTTGTCAAATGCTCAATTGCCTTAATAATAACCTTGCTTCCTAGATGTTGGCAGTTTGTAATTCCTGGTCACTTTTCCACATGAAGATTTTTTCCAATTCATTTACCCCTATTTTTAATAGCGTGACAATTGATAGCCTAAAGCGTGTAGTAGGTGTAGAGCTTTTTATTAAAGAAATAATTATTTAAAAAATGCTGTGATTGCTGACTTCTGCGCCACAAAGTAGTGTGTGTTTACGCTTATTATATTAGTATAGAAGTATAGAAGAGTGTGAACAATCGGGAAAACTTGCGATATTCCACCTTAAAAACTACAGTCATTTAAACTAATAGAACACAGTTTTTACATAAGTGTGTACGAAAAATGGCCAATCGATAGTACACGGCATAACTCACTGCTACCTAATTGGTCATTTGTAAAAATAGGCGGAGCTTATTTCGTTGCAAGGAATATAGCAATTTTTAAAGTGGGACACCACGAATTTCCGCGATTGTACCTTTTTTTAATTGTAATTAATTAGATGTCTGCGTGTAAGTAAACATTGTACAGTAAATTGTAATAATTAACAAATAACTTACAAGACTGCCGACTCCAATAGCGATCACAGCAACTTTGGTGGGAACACAGAAGCAAGATTTCATCGTGGAGGATTGTTTGTACCGCATTAAATCGCTATAAATAATGTAAATAAATTAATTATCTTTCTTCCTTCTTTTAGACAACTTATTTAATTGATACTGTAGCTTTAAACCCAGAGCAACATTTCTCGTCAGGATTCAAGATACGCGCCAAATCCATACTTCTAGTGACATGGACAGCTGTCAGCTAGGGACGTGACGTTTATACCGATAACCTAGAGTTGCGCCAATTCTACAGCACGGTACTAATTTTGTTCTTTACACTTCTTTGTAACTAATATTATAAATGCGAAAGTTTAGATGGATGTTAGAGTTTGCCGCCTAAACGGCTGAACCGATCCCTATGACAATTGGTATAAATGTAGAGAATTTTAACACATAGTTTACTTTATTTCACGCGGACGGAATCGCAAACGTAAGCTAGTATCTATAAATACAAATTGTTACTCTAAGCGATCCTAAACCGATGGTTACAATTTGGAGAAACTTTTTTAGAAACATAGTTATCGTTTATGAAACATGCTTTAAGTAATTTATACCTTTTTATTGTTTTATCTTCGATTATTTTTTTTTTATAAAATATTACAACGTACGCCGTGTTCAGTTTAAGCGTAGTAACTCTATTATTATAGAAATATTATTATATTAGTAATATTATCGTAGTATTTAATACCTATGTACAACGTGCGAGTTTATTTTTTTTCCTCAACCGATAATTGTATCGCGGTTTACTCGTGGTAGCTGTAAATGTCGGAAATATGAATTGACTAGCTGTTGTCTGCTAATTCGTCCGCTCAGTATTAAACTATAAAAAACGAATCATACCACAAACGGTCTTTCTTCAGGAATTAATCCCATGTGTTAATTCAGACATTGTTTAATTCTGTGCCACCCAATCCGGTAATAATAACGAAGTAACGGCTTGAGGCGAGGCTTCTGAGGGAGCCCTCGAGCTTAGTTACCCATAAACGAGGTTTAGGCTAAGCGCCATGCCGCCAAGCCCGGTGAATCTGTAAATGCCTCTTCAAGGCAAACAGTGGCCATTTAGTCACAAAAAAAATCTGAGCCACATTTCAATAAGATACGTAGAACTGTTGCAAAATTGTTAAGTTAACATGAAAAAAACTGAATTTTATGTATCTTACGGGCACCCTAACTATTTGCAAGAGCAAAAGTAGCTTATGTGTTCTTCCAGACTATTCTTTACATCTATATAAATTTTTTTGTTTAAACTAGAAACAAATATCCATCTAACATTCGCATTTATAACATAAGTATGAATATTAAGAAGTAAGAAGAATAGTAAGAAGTAACCTAAGATAGATGTAATCCACGTTTCGTCTTTTTATTAATTAATTAATAAAAAGAATTATTAATTAATTAATAAATAAATAAAAAAAGAATTATCTATCAAGAATTATTAATTATCTAATATGTCGTCCAGATCATTTTCTACATTTATACCAAAGATCGAGATCCGTTAAACCTTTAACTTCTAACAAACGTTCATCCACTTAACTTTTCTATTTATAATAGTAAGATTTATTTTACATTCTTACCGTCTATCATCCATGAAATCTTTAAAAAAAGGTATATTGTAACACACCAATCACTGTATCGTTGTTGAAAAAAACTTATTTATACAAACTCTACCACAGATAAAACACTACACTAGTATTACATCTACTAACCGAATGTTTTCAGCTAATATCCAATTTCAGTTAATATTTTTTATTCTAATTATCCTATTACTCGTTCAATGTACAGCGTCACAGGAAACAAAATCACACACGGGTGCGTCACACTAACTAAGACTAGGTACTCGCAAAGAACCGACCATAAACAATCCCACATTCTAGAGTACTTATGACAGGGAGGTACTCGACTCAAAATTCAACTCAACATGTCAACTTAGAGTGAGCGCACATCATTGAAAACTATCGCACTACTGTTGTCGATTGTTTCGCAGTCTGTAGTCGCACAACTAGCAATCTAGTAGTATGCGCGTCTCCATATAACCACATGAGCTGTTGCCCGCGACTTCGTCCGCGTTGTATTGGAAACATACAAACTATATATATTACAAAAAGTTACATATCCCTCGGGAAGCGGACATTTCTCGGGGATGAAGCTTATCCCATGTGTACTCCAGACTTTGTTTTATATCTTTGCCAAATTCCAATAAGATATGTTAAACCGTTGCAGAATGATCGAGTAAACATTAAAAAACTAAATTAATGAATCCCATGGGAACCGTAACTATTCCCGGGATAAAAAGCAGCCTATGTGTTCTTCCAGACTATGCTCTAAACCTGTGCCAAATTTCATAGAGATCCGTTCAGCTGTTTAGGCTACAAACGCTAGACTAAACTAAAAACTCTAAACTTTCGCATTTATAATATTAGTAAGATAGAATCAAAGCGCGACTAAACAGTTGGGCGATAGATTAGGCAAAGGTGTGCGCGCTTCAACTTCTAAATCACAATAGTTTAAAACGATTAGTGAGATATACCGGTTTACTTTATCTTTAGACCTCTAATAATGTATTTATTTAAAGATGTTCCACTGAATCTGCGAAAGGAAAATAATAAAACGCGTAAGAATGACTTTAAAAGTTTGCGATTTTTGTTTACATTATAGAATTTCTAATTTTCAACGCAAGTGTGGAAGAGCCCACATTAAAATCTTCGCAAGAATGGGCCAGCTCCCCCGATGAAATACTACGACCATACAGAAGACAGGCGTGAAGTGGGAGTAATTCCGCGTTTCGTCTGATGAGTGTGGTGCCGGAGGCCCAACTTTAGTCCCTTTTCCTTCCCACCCTTTTTTATCATAACATAAAAAAGAATTGTGGAAATTGCAAGATTGTATAATACAGCTGTTTCGTACTCGTAAAATGCAAATATGCTCTTTTAAAAAATATCTTATATTAAAAACTAATAAATAACAAAGATATTTCTAATGTCACAAAAATTAACAAAACAGAAATGTAATAACGGGAATAATCAAACAATGCGAATTTAATTGTACAAATTTGAATTTATAAAAATTAATCGCCACGAGAATTTGCTGAGTATGTCCCTGTACCAAGTGCTTTAAAAAGTTCTATTCTTATCGCTTACTAAGAAATCTTTTTGAGTAACGATTGTTTGGGTTTGCTTAAGATTTTGGTTAGTACTTAATTATTATAACTTTAAATTTTACTTTTTTTAATTATTTTAATTATATTTTTGAAATTAAATTAACAGAGGACCGTATTAAATTGCGGCCAGTAATATTTATGTCTTTTCGATTGACTTCCCAAAAGGAGGTACTGATTTCGATTGTATATTTTTTTAAAATATACATTATGACACGGCTAAACTCACGTGATAACATTCGGTATAGGCATCGACAGGTTCGAACCCGTTGGGGGTCCTGCACAGGGTGAGTGATTAATCGGGTATACTCGCTATGGCGTCGCGGCGGTCACTGGTTTATTTTGATTTTTTTTGGATTAGATCAACTAAAATTGCGTATCGTGTGGTGGGAGTCGCCGTAAAGTATTGATCACTATTGACTTAATTTGCAATTAAACGGAAGGTGAGAATTGCGTTTTATTTTAGCGCCACAATATATTAGTTTAAACAAAAGAATTATCAAAATTGGTCCACTAGCGGCGGTGTTATGCCGTAACACACTTAAAAAAAATGAAAAAAAAAAACATACAGACGAATTGAGTAGCTCCGGCTTTTGGGAAACCGTCAACAAAAGGCCAATTGTTATTTTGATTTTTAACATTTTTGGAAACTTACTACTAGCTTTCGTCCGCGTATCCTTCCGCGAAGAATTTAAAATAACAGAAAAATAAAACATACAGACGACTTGAGTACCTCCTTCTTTTGGGAAGTCGGTCGAAAAGCAAGTAATCTGTGTTCCAGGCTTTGTTCTACGTGTAATGCAAATCTCATCGAGATCCGTTCAGAAGTTTAGGCTTCAAACACTAACAAATATCCATCCGTTCAAACTTTCGCATTTATAATGTTAGTAAAATAACAAGTAAGATTATAAATGCGGGTTTACTATATATCTCCAAATCTTAGTGAAATTTAATAAATACGAACATAGCCTGGAAGACCATAGCAATCTTTGTATGTATTTTTTTTAAACCGCCCAAAATCGGAAGCTTAAACTGGTAGATCATGAACGCTCTATAATTTTATAACACCCTGTATAATGTAATTGATTAGAAAGTACAAGGTCATTTTAAATTACGCAAAATACTCGATTCCCATTAATATTACATCGTTCAAAACATTATTGTCATTCTGTTTGTCTTATAAGCCAATGACCTCAAGCGTAAGACCAGTTTAAGCGTTACCATAATAGAAAAATTCCACAATTTTAAGGAAAATTCGATAAATTCACCAAGTTTATTAATTCGGACAGAATAAGGAACCCAGGCTTCTTTAAATGGTGATAATCAAATTAATATTAACTGTAACTTATTTTTTTGTTTTTCGTTTGCCACCTTATGTTATAAAAAAAAACTCACTATTAGACATGGGTCTTCTCCAAATACCTTCCACGGAATATAATGATATAAGATATCATCATCTTATATCATCTGATTGCAAATTTTAAATTCCTTATCTTATTAAGAACATTTTTCAATCGTTCCTTATTTCTGTGGTAATATTGAGGAGAGTAGTGTTTCAAATATGGCAACATTTAGAGTGACCAGGTAATTTTAAACTACACCATTCAATACAGCTTCATTCAATCCAGTGACCACAAGCTACAAAGTACGTTACCTTATCACAAGATTGTCGTGTTCAAATCGATTTATGGTCATTGACCGGAAAGCAATAAAATAAGTTGATAATAATGTTATTTTGAGATGATTTTAAACTAAAAGAGTTACGAAACTGTTTTTTTAAAACGTTAATTAGTGTCGGTTATTTTTCTGCTGTTGAAAAAACATTGGTAAGTGCGAACATAATTATTTTATTATTCATAAATGTAAATGTGAATTGATTATTAATTTATGTAAAATATCATTTGGTTTAAGTTAAGGCGCAGTTAATTTTACTGACAGCGTCAAATGCGTTTTTTATTCATTACAGATAATGATCATGATTTATGAGTTTGTGGAAAATAAATCTTAATTGTTATTGTCAACTATTTTTTGTACAGATTTTATTTGAGGGATATTTTAAAATTACATTAAAATCATTTGTATATTATATTGTAACGGAAAAATGTTTAATTTTCAATTATTATTACCTATATCTATACTTATCTTCTATATTATCTATTATATTATATTATTATAATAAAGTGTAAACACACACTTCTTTGTTGCCTAAGAAGTCAACAATTAGAGCATATTTTTAAATAACTCTTTTTTTAATAAAACGCCCTACACTTACGTCATGCTTTAGGCTATATATTTTTACGCCATTGAATAGAGAAAGAGACCATAAGTTGCTGCCAACATCAAGAAAGAAAGATTGCTAAGGTTTGTCATGTCATGTCATTTTGACATTTGTTATTGACAATTTGACAAATGTAAACAATAAAATAAAATTATCATTATTTCATGCTAATGAAGCCGCACGGGAACAGCTAGTAGATAATAAAGAAGTTAGAGTAAGTGGGAATTTCCTCTGTCAAAACATGGTTTTATCTTAATGTTTTAGAAAAGATTTCACTCCATTGAGTAGGCTTCGAAACTACTGAACCGATTTCAAAAACTATCATTAGAAAACGTAGCTTTCACTGAGTAACATAGGCTATATTTTCATCAGCGAGAAAGCAATGGACGACAGAAAGGATTGCCACCCAAAAGAAACTGGGTCTGGTCGCTAGTCATAAACAAAATTAAGCTAATTAGATTGATTGCTTGCTTGATTGATTTTCACGCATCGTGATAAGAAAATACGCGCAAATAAAAATTAAACCTTTTTTCATTCTAAAACTCAATTTTACTTGCGTACTTCTAGTACATATCCGCTATCTACGATAAGAGTTCAGTAATTGGTGAACGAAGGCGATTGTCAACAGTTTAATTTGACCTTCCGTTGACACTCTGGTTTACAATGGTTATTGAAACAGGGTACCAACATTATGACACAAAAGACTGACTCTAGACTGTTGCTGGCGACTTGGTCCGGGAGAAATTAAAAAAAAAAACAAAAAACGTAGTCCATGTTACTCACTGATAGCGTAGCTTTTTAATAGTGGTCTTTTTTAAATCACCCCAGTAGTTTTTGAGTTATTTTAATATATATCTTTATCCTTATGTTAGCAGAGATTAGTAATTTGTTTGAATTCTTCTATCTTATGTGCGGTATCTTAATATATTTTACACTATACTTTTTATCAGCCGATAGTTAAGTCGGGCACTTAATCAGTATGACCAAATACAGAGGTTAGATTACATCGATATTATATTTATAAGTCTGAAAGTCTTAACTGACAACGTTTCCGATGAAATGGCGATGGGTCTTTCGTCCCTTGTACAATTTTTGTTGCCTTAAAAACAAGAAACTTATTTGATGATACTGAGTCCCGTGTTGAAACAGTGGTTTTAGTTGTTTTTTTTTCGTTACTCGAAAAGACGCCAAGCTGTGAATTAGGGTGCCATGTCGGTTGCGTTTTGAAGTTGTAAATTGTTTGGTTTCTTTAGAAATTTTGTTGTTAACTTGTCTTGTCTTAGTTAACCCAATAGCATATTCTATGTCTAGATAGATCGTTAGGGTTACAGTAAACCGTTATGTGTGGTGTAACTGTATTCACTAGGAAATTGCAGTATTAACTGGATTGTATGTTCACTTCTTGAATATGTTTTAGTACCAACAATGAAAATATTTATGCAACCCTTTCCTTACAGCGATTCAAGCGTAACAAACACAAATGTTATACGGATATGTCAACTCTGAATTTTTCATAGTTAGAAATTGTAACGGATATTTCAAGCATGTGCTAGATTGATCACGACTGTACTATTAAATAAAATTAAATGTAGAAAGTACAATGATGAAGAAAAGTTAGTCAAAAACTTCTTACGTATATTAATAGCTTGCGACTCCTTCGGCGTGGAATTATAAGGACTTCGGCACCACACTCATCAGAGGAAACGCAGAATTGCTACCAATTCACGCCTGTTTTGTGTGTGGCGGTGGTATTGCTGGGGGCGAGCCGGCCTATTCGTATGAAGATCTAAAAGCGGACTCTACCACTGTCACCTAAAATTGTTCTAAGCTGCCTCGTGAGAAATTCAGAGTCGCCAAGACATCTGTACCTTTTAATATAATAAACAGGAGAGATTTGTATTTTTGGATTTTTCTATGTAATGAAATAATTCAAAAACTAGTGGCCGATTTCAAAAACTATTTCACCATTAAAAAGCCATATTTTCACTCAACAAATGCTATGTTTTTATTATTTTTAATTTCACGAGGACGAAGTCGCGAGCAATAGTTAGTTTGAAATATAGGATTTATATGTACTAGGTTGAAAAAAAAACCGACCTGTTGTAAACAAGACGGGGTTTTTACATCGCATTCTTAGTTTTTTATTTGCGTCGTATTCGTGTGTTTTAATATGAAACTATCAAGTAAATAGGTTAATATATTGACAATTATGTAAACCAGTGCATACAGATCCATCAAGGACAAGCTCTGCGTGTTTTTCCATTGTTAAAGATATCCTATTCTACACATCCTTTTTCCACTAAGCTATTTGTCGCGCGTGACAGTTGTGTATGTGGAATAGGTACTTAACATTGATCATAGTTGCGACTAGATGTGATTTGAAAAACTATCAGCCGAATACTCAAACGAATGTTAAACAATTCGCTTCATAAGTTCCTCTAACAATTTGGGAAATGTCAAAATATTAACAGAATTTGGAGTTTATGACTGTGGTAATAAATTAAGACGCGACATATATAAATGGCGTTTCAGTATTCACCTGTATACCGTTTAGTCGCTTATGGACACTAAAAATATTGTAGCTTCTACTGAAAAGCTAACAAAACTTACCGTTTACTCCATACATACTTTTACAGCTAAATCTTCAGCTTTCAGGTTAATATAATTCGTAGTAAAAATAATACGCCAAAATAATTAATTATTGCTTTATTATACTTATTTTGATAAAATGATAAGTCAACGAGAAATGAAATTTCATGAAACGAATAAAATGAGATGACATAATTAAAAACAGCTGCCAAAACAAATACAACGCATGATAAAAAACATAATAAAAAATAATAATCTCCAGGTCTTGTGTTCGAATCCCGCTATGTACAAATGAGCTCTGCTTAAAACTCTTGTGTGACCGGACCCTTATATTGTATTAAACCTTTGTGCCACAAGAAAAATAAAAAACCATACTAAAAATCAATAATAAGGGGCTGCGCCACAAAATTGTAATTTATTTGAAAACAATCCAATATGTGATGAAAATATCGAATTTTGTTCCACTATCTGACAGTGACGTCATATTTAAGCTATCTGAGTCTCTATCAGCCAGTGGTGGGACAACCCCTAATAGCATTTTTATAACTTGACACATTCCATGTCGACAATATTACTGAAAAACAATGCAATAATTTGTAAAAATTCTATACAATAACTAGCTTTCGCCCGTGACTCCGTCCGCGTGAAATTTAAAAGTAAAAAAGAAAAAAAAAATATAGCCTATGTTACTCACTGATAAATTACCTTTCTAATGGTGAAAGAATTTTTAAAATCGGCCCCGTAGTTTTTGAGCCTATTCAATACAATCAAACAAACATTGTTTTCCTCTTAATAATATTAATATAGATTAAGCTATAAAATAAATTTTATAAGATTCATTTAACAGATTATTCTAAATAAATGCATGATAATAATAAATATTATTTCACTTAATTTTATTTATAAAATAGCATCTTTATTTCATCAAAGGAGTATTAATAAATAATAATAAATAATAAGATCAGTAACTATTATGTTGTTCTAAGGTTTTTTTTAACTGTAATAGTTTAACTTGGGCCATTTCTTCCTCTATTCGCGCTGTCCGTTGTTTTATTTGTTCAGTTTCTATCTGTAAGATAAATGTACATGTTAGCTTTTTAACTATTTTTATATATTCTGTATTCTTAGAAAGTTATTTAATATACATATCATTACTATTTATATTTAAAACAACAAAATTGTTAGGAAAATATTAGGAAACGGAAAGAATAGTGGAGGGTAGTTTTATAAAATATAGGGCAACGAGTGGCTCGATCCATCTAAACTTTCGCATTTATAATATTACTATGATCAGCCGTATCGAATGGTTAAAGGTAGTTCAGAAACCGGCCACTTACCTGTACTTTTAATAATTCCATTTCCAATTTCTTCTTACGTTCTAAATGTCTTATTCTGAGTATACTCTCTCTACGCATGTAGTCTAGCGGCCTGGGACCTTGGTTCATATAATTCGTTCTAGAATATCCTTTGTCAAAATGATCTGAAATACAAGATTACTTAAATTATAAATGCGAAAGTTTAGATGGATGCGAAAGCTTAAAAGCTACAAACTCTAACAAACATCCATTTACCAGCCGTTTACGGCTGAACAGATTTCGATGAAATTTTGTATAGATGTAGAGGACAGTCTGGAAGAACATATAGGCTACTCACTTTTTTTTAATTCCACGCGGACGGAGTTGCGGGCGAAAGCTAATATGTAATAAATGTTTGCTATGCTATACTATAAAGAGGAAAGATTGGTATTTTTGTATGTATTACTCAAACTACTGGGCCGATTTGTAAAATTCTTTTACCATTATGAAGCTACATTATCAATTCTATTTATATATAAGTATACTAGCTTTATACGACTCAGTCTGCGTGGAAAAAAAAATTTAGTATCCTATTTGTCATTCCAGGCTATCCTCTACATCTATGCCAAATTTCATCAAGATCCATTCAGCGGTTTAGGCTACAAACTGTAACAAACAATCATCGAGTTTCGCATATATATTAGTAAAGATTTTACCGTTACAATCCTGTGATGTCCCCGGGATAATATCTGCATCTTCTCTCTGTGTACTTGTGTCATTTTCAATAGATTCAGGTTCCATACATACTTCAACTTCTAGAAAAGTATACACTATTCATTATTTAAAAAACCATAACATTTTTAACTGCAATACTTAGGGGCTGTCCCACCAAATTGTAAATAAAATTATTTCAACTTTCGTGACACATTATTATAACTAAACTAACTAAATTCGTGCCGTCACTGAAAAAATAAGAAATATTGGTTAAATAATTAGTTATAAATTGTAAATTGTCTGACAACAGACCAATGTGTAAAATGTGTGATGGAAATATGAGATTTTGTTCCATTGTCAGTGGCGTCAGTTAAGCTATCAGAGCCTCTATCAGCCAGTGGTGGGACAGGCCCTTAATAAAACACACAAACTAATATTGTGTGCACACCTTTGACTAGACTATCGCACAACTGTCGTGTGATGTCGGTTGTTTCAGCTAATTCAACTGACTCCATATAAGCATAGGAATCAAAGCGAGACTAGATTTGTACCTCACCAGTTAGGTAACAAGATTTTTTTTCCGATTTCGTAACCAGTCATGTTTTTTAATAGATTGAATACACTTTGCTATCGATTTCAAGCCCAAGTAGATAGCGCAATTTAATATCGATCTAATTGACATTTCACGTTAGGTCGCGATTTTTATGTTTCAAGTCTCTGAATTCATCTTGCCAATTCCACAATTTTAATTACTTTTTTTATTTATACCATAAGGCGACAACCAAAGTTGTGGCTCCAGCACGCAAAAATGTAATTAATAATAATACAGGGCCCGGAAAGTAGAAAAGTATATGCACCCTACCGGTTACAAAAGCGAAAAAAAATCGTGTTACCTTACTGGTTAGGTAAATTAGGTTACTGGTTAGGTAACGTAAAGTTAGGTAAACGGAACAAGCTACATAATAAGCATATGTACAACTTATATACATACTTATAGGGTCCATTACTCGTGTAGGTTCAGGTTCTGGACTATTCTGCTCAACCGAGTCTAATATTGCACTATCACTGTCAAAATCATTCTCTAATTCAGGTAACATCATAGATGAGTCCTAGGAAATTAAAGAAACTACTTTAGTAGAAAAAATTATTAAGCCAAGAAAGCAGACTTGTCCTATTTTTAACCAACATTTGAAATGATTTTTAAGAAAAATTGGATTGGTTTTATACTGTTGTTGGTAAAATAATAATTATTATTTAAATATGTATATAAAAGAATTTCAAATTGCTAGTGAGTGTGTAGCTAGCTTTCTTAAAGGTTTTTACATGCAGCCATAAGAAAAAACAGATATTTCATCATACTTTAATGTTGTAATGTTAAAGTTTGGGATGGATTTTTGCTAATTCAAACTCCGGAGCTCAGTGAATCTTGATGAAATTTGTCACTTATGTAGAACATAGTATGAACAAATAGGATTCTAATTATTTTTTTAAATTCCAGCTAGTGACTATAAAACAATGATTGATGTTACCTCATCACTCATATTCAATAATGCTTCATGTTGTAACGGAGGTGATGGATGTCCTCCTGTGTGGAGTAAATTTGCTCGTTCTTTCCGTGTAAATGCCTTCATATTTTCCCAAGCTCTTTTTAATGTTAATGTTTCACGCTACAGTTGAAAAAGAAAAATATGTTAGAAAAATAAACGATTATTACTTAGAATTATAAGTTTGCACTAACAAAACAGTCATACAAAAACAATTGGTATTTCTTTAACTAAGAGTGCGAGAATAATATTTTTGTATGAAATTTCGGCAGTGAAAACGTGTAGTTACAGAATATACAACCTTATGTACGACATTGGCATTGCTGTTAAATTCTTGAGTGATTAAATTCCAAGCCGCTTGTTTTTTGCTTACAGTTTTAGCATCGGTATATTTTGTTTGTACAATTGGACGTCTTTTTACTAAATGTGCCAATAAGGCTTTCTCTTCAGCTGTAAAATTAGGAACTCTTTTCCGCGCTTTTGTTTGTTGTTGTTGATCCTGCATCGTAATCTGACCTGCGTCCTAAACGAAATCGTTTAATGAATTGAACATTGAAAGAACTACGTTTAACTATCCTATACTTACCATTGTAAACATTACAAATTACAAGTATTGAATATATTTTGGCATTAATGCCTATATTTGAAAACTTTACCGGCACCGGTAACAATAATATTTCTGTAGCATTCAAAACGAACGCCTAAAATCTTGTAACTTGTAAACATAGAAACGTCACTTTCCAAATCCAAACATGGCGGCCATTACAATAAAAATGCTCGTTAGGAAATGTTGTAAAGTTACGTGACAATAAAAATGTTTTGGCAATGCGATAGAATGAGAAATAATAAGTTTTTGAAGAAATAATATTTACAATTACGTTTTCTATGTTACAGGAGAATCTGTTCAATAAGCTTAAAAATGTCATCAAATAGACACTAGCGCCGCCGCGTGCAATCAGAAAAACTAAACCTTGTCAATATGTTCAAATTCAAATAGGGAGATTACTAATTTTTGCACTCAGAGTGATTAATGGTTACTTTAGTAAACTATTAGTGGGATGTTAGTGCGAAAAAATCTTAGAATAGTTTTGTAAACAACATGATGAAATCGCATGAAAATTGGGTTCTTTATCTCCATATCAAAGAACGTTAGTGAACTCGACCTGTACCAATAATAATTATTTTTAAGATTGTAATATCAACTTGACCCAATTAATATGGGATATGTAGTCTATACATATAACAAAATTGGGGTGTCTGCATGCATGGAATAAAAATTACAGACTCGCGAAAATGATGTATTTGCGTTGGTGATAACGAAAATCGCATTTAAAAAACTTTGTTCTGTTGTCTGCGTTTTTACTGGAGGGTAGCTGATATAGACGGCTACTTTTTTTTAAATTTCGGGCTATCAAAATGGCGACCGATCGCTATCTCGAACGGGTGGACCGATTTGACGGGAATTTGATTGGAAGGTAGTTGGTAAAAGGTTCACGCGGGAATGTTATAGACGACTATTTTTTTTAACTCCGCACTAACAAAGTATGTAATGCGGGCGACAGATCATTTGTAAATACATCATGTTGGAGTATATAGTTTTATTTTGTCTAGGCGTTATATTTAATTTATTCTTGCGTAATTTATAACAACCTTGTGCTTTGTAATTATTTGTAAATTGTTCTCTATTTAATTCAAATTATCTTATATTTACCTCTAGCATATGATGGATTGTTGATCGCAATAATTTGCTGTTTAAATATCATCTTAAAGACCTTCAGCATAAAGTTGTTTTTCCAAAATTCAAGTTGTTACGGTTCATGATTCTCTCGGTGTAATGTTACGATAAGGTATGATGAAGCAAATTAAATATTATAATTAAATAAAAACCTCGAACGTTATCAAATGACAGAACTATTAAAGTTAATTTTTTTTGTTTTAATTGTTTTTATTATTTACGTTGTTATTTAAAAAAAAATATTCATTTTCAGGTATAACTGCTAGTATTTAAAAATACAGAAGCGATGGATAAAATTTATTTCTCTGTTAATGGCCAGCGATATACACTAAGTAAGTTTTTTTTATTCTTTTTTGAAAACGTTTGAATATCTTTAGACTCTACAAATAGGAATGTTGTAGCGTAAGTGTTATAATAGTGGACCTACACTGATTTGAATATATTGGCAGTAGACAGGGCATAACTGATGCTCTGGGCGATATATCTAAGCCGTCCTTTAATACATACCCATACGTAAAAAGGCGCCAATGGCCGCTACTGGCAGTAGAACCCTACGTTCAAATTTTAATGTCTTATTTACTAATAATCTAAATTGTTCCGCGCTGTGAGCATTTAGGTGAGTGATTGTTGAACGATAGAAGAGATGAAGTAACGCCGAGAACATTCAGTCTACCAATCGAATGTTAATCATTTGGTAAAAAAAGAACGAATAAGCAACCATTTTTTTATTTCTCGTTCTATAGAGAGTTCAATGTGTTAGTATTAGAAATCTACACTTAGTGATGTTCTAATCAGTTCTTTATATGGTTTCTATGTCTTCGAGTATTTAATTATTATTCTTCTTTCAGTTTATCTATTAAACAATCGAGTTCAACAGTGAATACACTGTCATATTGAACATTAATAGCGGGCGCACACGTTTGACTAAACTGTCGCACAACTGTTGTGCGATTATCGGCAGCCAATTCAACTGTTTAAAAAATCTAGTAGTGTGCGCAACTCGCGAATTAATGGGAGACTAAACAGTTGTGCGATACTTTAGTTTAGTACGCGAGCTCTTAATGATTAAAATAATTTACGAAAACTTTAAAGCACAATTTAGCTCCTATATCGTTAATTCTCTAATGATTTAACCATTCCAGGTGGACCTGAAGTGAATGAAACAACGTCATTGAATGACTACCTTCGGAGTACCCTGGGGCTGTTCGGCAGCAAGTCGATGTGCCACGAGGGTGGGTGTGGCACTTGTATCGTATCAGTCGCACAATACAACCCTAACACCAAGGGAAAGGACGTGTTTGCTGTTAATTCTGTAAGTGCTTATTTGAGAGGTTAGCTGCAATCGTAATTACGCAATTGAGGACCATGCTTTAAACGGAGATTAAGGGTCCCACTGGCTGATAGAGGCTCAGATAGCTTAAAAATGACGTCACAGATAAGAGAACAAAAACCGATATTACCATCACTTATTTTACACGTTAGATTGTTATCAGACAATTTACAATTAAAGGCCCTTAATCTTTGTCTATTACTATGGATAAAAAGTGTATAAAAGATATAAGGTGTATAAAAGATAAGGTTTGATAAGAGATATAAGATCTTTTTTTTTATTTTATTCATGTAGTTTTTTTTATGATTTTTCACTGGCGACGCATCTGCAACTGTTAAACAAATTGACGGCTAGCAGCTAGTGGAAATAGGCTTAAAGACAATATTACTTTTCAGTGCTTAGTACATATCTTATCATGTCATACTTGGGAAATAACGACAATCGAAGGTCTGGGGAACCAGAGGGATGGCTACCATCCATTGCAGAGCCGACTGGCGACGTTCAACGGCACGCAGTGCGGGTATTGCACGCCTGGCTGGATTATGAATATGTACAGGTAAATAATTAAAAAGTTAACTTGACTGACATTATTAGGGTTGCCACTATTAGGATCAATTGCTTGGGATATTTGAAATGAATTTCGGTTAGTAAACAAGTCGACAATTATAAAAAACAGAGTGGACTTTGTTTTCATCTCTCTAACATTAAGGATGGTAGATCTTCGTTCTTAATTCGCTGCTAGAGCTGCCACTTGGCCATTACAGTTGGTCAATATCGCTTAGTAACTGGACCGGCATTACACTGGCATAGTGTGAACACTAACTTGCACCAGTTAGTGTAGTTCATACTAACCAAGACTAGCCTGAGCGACTGGTCAACTGTACTAGCCGAGTGTGTACCACGCTTTAAGACAAAGTGTAGGGTTGTCAAACTTTGAATAATGACTACGAGTGTGTTTAGACCGTGCGCACATCTTTGACTAAACTATCGCACAACCGTTATGCGATTATCGATTGTTTCGTAACCAATTCAACTATTCAGTTGCATAATTAAAAATCGAGTAACGTGTTCATATAAGGTCATAGCAATCAAAGCGTGACTAGACAGTTGTGTGATAATATAGTAAAATGTGTGCGCGCGCTTTTACACTAGACTTTGTCAAGTCCCAGAACGTTATAATTAGTTCTTCAAACAGTTTCCATGCATTCGTGTATTGAATAATTATCCTTCTTGCAGTTTATACAAGGGATCTAGTAAGAAGTTGACCACACAAGAAATAGAGCGGTCTTTCGGTGGTAATATGTGCAGATGTACTGGTTATAGGCCTATTCTGGATTCATTTAAGAGTTTCGCCAACGATACTGATCCTCAAATAAAAGTGAGTATTGTTGCTATCTCTTTCATTCTGTTTAAAAATAAATGAGAGAGTTGAAATGTTTCTCTTTCTAGGACTTGGAAGACTTGGACCAAATGAAATGTTTAAAATCTGATGACTGTTTATTAGACGAGGAGTGGTGTGTTATTGAGGGGATGAAGGAATTAAAATTGCAAGGATCAAAATCGAATCGTTGGTACAAAGCATTTACATTGCAAGATGTGTTTAAAGTAAGTATTTGAAGTTCATTTTTAATTTTGTTTTTAAATCTTACTAATTTTAAAATGAAAATGTTTAGATGGATGTTGGATGATGGACGTTGGATGTTGGATGATGGATGATGGATGATGGATGATGGATGATGGATGATGGATGATGGATGATGGATGATGGATGATGGATGATGGATGATGGATGATGGATCTTGATGGATGGATGATGAAAAAAGTTTTTTTATTTCCCGAGTACAGAAAAGTTAGTTTATCTTATAAGGTATAAGACTCAGTTAAACTTTTTTTATATTTAGATTCTTACAAGGGAAGGCGTTGACAGTTATCGACTAGTCGCTGGCAACACCGGTAAAGGTAAGTTCGAAAACAAGAAAAAAATAGTTAGCATAGTAATTATATTGTATTTTAAATGGATCTCATAGTAACTTTTTAATCATATTTCAGTTACTAGTATTAGACAACTTATTTAATTGATACTGTCGCTTTAAACTCAGAGCAATACTTCTCGCCAGGCTTAGGATGCGCGCCAATCTATCCATACTTCTAGTGACATTGACAGCTGTCAGCTAGGGATGTGACGTTTATGCCGATAATCTAGAGTTGCGCCAACTCTATAGCACAGTACTAATTTTATTCCTAACACTAGATGGCGTTGCACATTGACGTTTTATTAATAAAACAAGTTTAATTCTTACCTCACTTTATCCATTAATTATAGAGAATATTCATTAGTCATAGTTATTAAAAACCGGCGATTCGGTTTACGCCACAGCATATGCCGAATGAATACTTTTTCTTACAAATAAGAGCTGACGCACACCTTTGACAAAACAATCGCACAATCGATAGTCGATTGTTTCGCTGCAAATTCAACTATTTAGTTGCACAATTAAAAATCGAGTATTGTGCGCACCTCCATATGAGCCCATAGGAATAAAAGCGTGACTAAGTTTATACATGCAATTTCTTCTAGGAGTATATCCAATCGAAGCAGATCCTCGTATCCATATCGATATATCATCAATCGAATGTTTAAAAGATATAACGAGGTCAGTGAACCTTGTTCTCGGAAGTGGAATCTCGTTGACTGAAATGATGCGTGTTTTTAAATTCCACGCGAAAAATAACGTTGATTTTCAATATTTGGAACATTTTTATGAACATTTGGAGTTAGTAGCTCACATACCTGTTAGGAATGTAAGTATATTGAAGAAACACATAAAATTGTAAATTCGTTGTTACAATAAAATGTTGTGTTTTCCTTTTTCTTTTAAGTTTGTCGAAATCTTTGTCTTCGAAAGCGTTTAAAAAAAATCTAAAACAATAATAAGTTGTTTTGTTATTTTCAGATCGGCACAATCGGTGGTAATTTAGCTTTAAAAAATGCCCATAATGAATTTCCGTCCGATATATTTTTATTGCTACAAACTGTTGAAGGCATGGTGACTGTAGGTAACATACTTTTTCTGTACGTCCCCTCTGTTGATTCAAAGGTCTGCATGCGGATCTCTATGAGTATTTTACCGTGGTAGAGCCTGCCTTAACATGTTTGCACGATTGGGTCGGCTTGCCCCAACCAATATCACGACCACACAGAAAACAGGCGTGAAGAGGGAAAAATTCTGCGGTTTATGGCCCAACTTTAGTCCCTTTTCCTTCCCACCCTTTTTCAGAAGAAAAGGCTTAAGGAAAGGATGGGAAGGGAACAAGGCTTGAGGGTGGAGGTGATACAGTACGGGGAAACATCCTCTTTATGTGTGTTTCCTCCGTCGATCAAGGGTATGCAACATATCCGCTTTTGCGAATGTCTATGGGCAGCGGTCACTTAGCCATTTTGGCGAATTCACGTGGCCGCTTGCTCGTTCGCCACCTTATGATGAAAAAAAAGACTATAAAAATGTGGGATCAAGGTCTTATCGTATATTTTTATTGCGAAACCTAAAATAAATATAGACACAACATTTATTTGTTTATGTTTTTATAATTTTAATTAATTGTAACATATCTTTAACTCTTAACCTTTCAGTCGATAACAATCTACGCAATACCGATGTATCGATGTCGGATTTTCTCAAACTGGATCTGCGGAACAAATTAATATTGAACGTTAAATTACCTCCTTTAACATCAGATATTATTATTAAAACATACAAGGTAATACGATAGACTTTCTTAACTATCTCTACCCACTTTAAATTAGAAGAAAGAGGCTTTCAGGGCTCGAAACTAACTTATTTAAAATGACTAGGCCATAGTCAACACTGCACTGCGGGTTAACTTCACACATATTGAATTTCTTTACATTTGAGCATGTTGCATCATTATGTTTTATCAGGATTTCTCCACCTTTGACATGTGTAATTAAATTCTCTAAGTTTTGTATTGTCATCTTTGTTAATTACAAGAAACAATGCTTACAGATAATGCCGCGCGCGCAAAACGCCCATGCGATAGTAAACGCTGGTTTTCAATTCCAATTGGACTCGTCTGTCGTGACGTCATGCTGTCTCGTATTCGGCAATATAAGTCCCGATTTCATAAGAGCGAGAGAGACGGAAAACATATTGAAAGGGAAGAACCTTTACGCAGATGTGACTTTACAAAAAGCATTATCGAAATTGAACCAAGAGATTGTACCAAAAGATTTTCCACCAGAACCATCGGTACATTGCAGGAAGGCAATTGCACTGGGATTATTTTACAAGGTACTTTATATCAATACTATCTTTTACATGAAAAATCTACTAATAATTATAGCCTATGTCAATCAGTATTAATTTACCTTTCTAACGGTAAAAGAATTTTTGAAATCGGTCCAGTAGTTTTTGAGTTTATTTATTACAAACAATAATATAAGGACTAAGCAATTTAAAAACCAACAAAATTCTTTCGGTAGAGTAAAAGTTAACAAACAATTAATTAGGTACTATTATTATTGATATAAAGTTGTGATAGAAGAAATTGTGTTTTGCTGACCATACAAGAGAAGAAACAAGGTCTTTGTTTCTTAGTTACCATTTTTGTCTTCAGGCTATTCTATCAAAAGCGCCATCTGTGAACCCTCGGTACAAATCCGGCGGCAGTCTACTCGACCGGCCAGTGTCCACTGGCACGCAGCACTTCGACACTAACAAGTCTCTCTGGCCACTAAACCAGCCTGTGCAGAAGTTAGAAGCTTTAACACAAGTAAGTATTACAGAACATGCTCTGAGAAGATATTTTAGGTTAAATTTCATCCTCAAACATTCCAGGTTAAATTACAAATTTCCTTTATTTTTGCGTTTCTAATTTTTTACTTGAAAAAATCTATTAAGAATATAGCCTATGTCACTCTTTGATAATTAAACTTTCTACTAGTGAAAGAGTTTTTCAAATCGGTTCAGTAGTTTTTGAGTTTTTGTATTACAAACATTGTATCTAATTTCCTTCATTTTGTTTAAAGTTTGTCAGTGACAATTAACAGAAACGTTATAATTGTCATCCAGTGTTCAGGCGAGGTGCGTTACTCTTGCGACATCAGGTTTTCACCACGAGACGTGCATGTCGCGTTCGTGCTGGCTACGGAGGCTGTAGCAGACATCAAAACAATAGATGCAACTGAAGCTTTGGTAAGTCTAGATTCTTAACTCTATGTACCACATTCTAGCGAACTACAAGACATCTCTAGGTAACTAGCCATAGTAACTAGCCAAAGTGCTAACTTTTGAAGTAGTGGGGTTTATACATTGTTTTGTATGCGATTCGCAAATTTTCGGCGCCTGTTTCAGTTTATCCTTCGGTGGTTTTCCAGCCCTAACGGCAAGATTTCCTAAGTTTAAGACCCTTTTCTAGTTAGGTATTGTACTGCTAATTTCACTAGCAATTCTGATACACACAGAGCTACTTACAAAAATAGCAGAGACAAAACCTTTAGTGAAATAGAACCTTATTGGTGACTAGAACGTTACTGAAATACTTTTCTTACTAGTTGACTGTCGTCGGAGTAAATTGTATATTTTTTATGATTTCCAGAAACTTCCAGGGGTAATAGCATTCTTTTCCGCTAAAGATATCCCCGGGAACAACAGCTTCACTCCTCTAGACGTACCCTGGCAGAACGTGGTAGAGGAGATCCTGGCTTCTAAGAGAGTGTTGTACTATGGCCAGCCTATCGGCCTGATGGTGGCTGACAATCAGAAGCTAGCGGTGAAAGCGGCTAAGCTCGTGCATGTCAAGTACAAGAAGATCGCTGACCCAGTCCTGACTGTTTCTGACGTCCTGGTAGCGCCGGATAAGGATAAGAGAGTATGTATGATTTGACCTGATTTTTTTTTACTTTTTTTTTTGTTGTTTTCGAACTACATATTACTTAGAAAGGACTGCTTGATTGTATTAAAAGATGCTGCTATTATTTTTGTGCATTTCAAAATATTCATATTGTAAATATTGTTGGACTAAAGCCATCAAATTGTAAATTATCTGATAACAATCCAACGTGTAAAATATTTGATGAAAATATCGGATTTTGTTACATTCATTTAAAGCTCTCCTCTATCAGCCAGTGGTGGGTCAGGCTCTTAATTGTATAAAATTACATTTCAATGTAACAAGCAAATGATTTACATCATTCCGTCCTCCTACATTAAAAGACACCGCGTTGTTCAGTCATCTCAGTCACTCCAATCTTGAACACCTTTCTATCCATCTCTTTCTTGGGCTACCACTAAA